TTTAGATCTCGGAAGTGAATAAATATTGATAGGCCACCAAATTTGTATGATCCAATATATGCACAGAGAGGAGCACAATGGAAAAATCTGAATTTGTATTAACGTGTATTCACATCTGTTTTATTTACACAACCGCAAAAGAATAATATACATATAAATATTAGAAAGACAGAGAACTTGTATACGTATAAATATTAGCAGAAAGCTAACCAGACTCTGATTCTTTACATCAAAGAATAAAGTCATCGATCTAAGGCAGAAAAATATGGAGCTTGGGACATTCTTTTTGGAGTTTGACGATTCTCATCCCTTGTGCTTATTGGTGAAGCTTGTGGCATGAGCTCTGACAATCGAATTCTTTCACTGCTTATTTTGTTCTGTAGAAACAAAACATTAGGATCATAACATAGTTTTTGTATACATTGTACATTCCTGTAGAGCAAAACAAGCTCAAAGATAAACAAAATGGTTTTGCAGTGCTAAAATTTTATATACCTTGTACTTCAAATCCTGCAATTCTCTATCCATCGAAGTAACCTTGTTCTTGATTTGCTCGAGTGCCTCTTCAGCAATAGATGGGTTTATGTGGGTTGATGGTTTTGTTATTCCAGCAGCCTGAAAGTTAGTTCAAAAGGAAATATAAGTCCAGGTTTGGTTTCTTAATTTCTGAGAGTGAATTAAGTAACCTCATGGCCTTTTAACATACCTTCAAAACACTAGTACACAGGCCTAACAATTTCTGTGCTAGTTGCAATTTCTCCTCCTCAGTTTCCTGTAGCAGATTCACTTCCATTGTCAGGCATCAAAATGGGTTGATTTTGCACCTCTCTCTCTCTCTCTCTCTCTCTCTCTCTCTCTCTCTCACACACACACACACACACACACATACAGACACACAAGACAACACTAACCTTCAGTTTGGCACTAAATCGTTGCTCCTCATCAAAATCAACATAAGGATTCCTCCCACAGGAAGCACGAAAGCGTGCAAGCTCTTCCTTGACACGAGAAAGAATAACTTCTGTCCGCCGGAGCTTAGTGCTTAGTTCTTCATTCTGAACTTTTAGCTTGTGATTTTCTTCCTGTTGCATTATAGACAAGACTCACTCAGATTGGCTAGGAATAGAAATGATAAGTAGAGAAAATACAGATGCTGTGCTTAGAAAGACTTCATTAGCAAGAATATCTTAATTGGAAATATCTTGCCTTGATTTTTGCATGATGATGAATCCGTTGCTGGAGGTTTTGCTGACCAGACAGCTTATTTACTTCCCCTTCAAGTTCCATCACCTTCTTTTTATGATTTACATTCTCCACCTACACAGATAAAAAGTAATAAGCCAAGAAATAAAGAAGATAAAGCATTCACTTTATTTAAGGAATAATGTTTCAAAAACAGTCTCAACCTTCAGCATTTCATTTTCAGTTTTTAGAAACTGATCTCGCTGCCTAAGTTTTTCCAAAGCAATTTGCACAGCTATGAGTTCAGCCTGTTTTCGGTCAATTTCCTCGAGCCACCTGGAATATGAGGCTTAAAGAAACTTAGGCATATGGAAGATAGAAAAGTTACTAGAAAATTTGGAAGTTTTGAAGTACTATGTGCTCACCCTTGTCTTTCCTGAATGAATTCATTCAGCTGTTTTTTCAGCTTAACTACCTCCTGCTCCTGAATGAAAGAGTTAATTACAACAAAACACAACAAAAGTTATCTATCCGAGTTTCAATATAATTAAAGCTGAATACCTTTTCTTCGGATTCCACACTATGAAGCCGGGCCTTCTCTGTTATTTTCTGCACTTGTTGATTATCCAATAGTGACTAGCATTCACAAAAAGGGAAAAGGTGAGATGATCATAGTACGTTTTTGTTAAAAAAGTAAATCATAATTGTGCATCAGTAATATAATTCTTTGATATTTGTTATATTGTGTACAATAATTTACCACGTAAGTGGTCATATCCAACTTGACTCCCAGTAAGTCCCGAATTACATCATGGGTCATGCTTTCAGCAGCAGCCAATTTGGAATTCAAAGTAAATATCTGCACCACCAAAATGGAAAAACAAGATTAATTTGTGGTAGACAAACGTACTTGTAAGAACCAAATAGGACAGTAAAGCCCTACCTCTTTCTGTCGACTTAATGCTAAGGATTCAAGCTCTTCAATGCGGACCCTTGAGGTTGTAAGTTCTTCATCCTTCTCAGATTTTATCTGTTGTGCCAAGCCCAAGCCAATGCATTTAAATGGGGAACCAGAGCCTCTAGACTTTGTGGCATGTTTCTCTGACTTGTTTGATGAACTTGTGGCATGAGTGGAATGGCCTTCAGGTCTGACTTGTTCAGCCATGGATTCCAATGCCTTAAACTGTTTGCAGATTTTGAAGTTACATAATTGAAGAACTACGAAAAATATATTTTTAAAAAGATCATCAAGACAATGAGATTCAATCTTTTCCCATACCTTCTGCTTGTACTCACAAGCCTGTGCTTCTGCATGCAAATTCAGCTCAGAGATATGTGCTTTAAATTGGGCAATCTGTCAGGTAAAAACAAAACCATGATATTGCAAAACTATAATCACAATAGATATGATTGAGTCTGCACTCCACAGTCATATGAGAAAACTGTGGTTCAACGTTGCAAGCTCAGATCAGAGTTAGAATTTATTGCAGTACAGGTGCTACAAGAACTTCACCTCTGCATCCTTCTCAGCTATATCCTGCTCAAGTATTTGTATGTTCTGTAGGGCTTCTTGAAGGCTTTTCGCTTTCTCATCTAAATATCTATTTTCAAAAGAAAAATAAAATTCATTATTTAGTGTCTATTTATCAAGACAGTTGAGTGTGTTTGTGCACTTGAAACAAATTGATGGGAGGATGTGCTCTAAACCTCTTCATGTCAGCATTAGCATTTTCAACATTCTGCATCTGATGTTTCACAGCATGAATTTCCAATTCAAGCTCTTCTCCATGCAGCCGTTGTCGTTCAGCTTCTCCCTTAACAATATCAACCTAGGCAGGAGTCCATAGGTCGTGGTGATGATATGATAGATAATATACAGAACTATAACAAGATTCATGTGACTTAATCGCAATCAAAGACATACCTTGTTTTCCAGCACGTCTACAGTACGTTCAAGCTCCTCAACAGACCTCTCTAAGAGCTTCACCTCTGCCTCTTTGTCGTCAGCATAGTTCTTTCTTAATTCAGCTATCTGAAAATTAGTACAGCAAACTAGAATCAGTATATGTAAATTTGAAGAAAAAGTAGTAAACTGTTAGTGCTGAACAAGCATGTACCTCTTGAGCTTCATTTGCAATTGCTTCAATTTCATCCGCTCGTGCTTGTTCTCTTTCAAGCTTTTCCTTCAACTTAAGCATCTCAATGTGAAGAAGATCCTTTTCACTAGCAAGTTCATGCATATTGCTCCTCAAGGATTCATTCGAGTTATTCATTTGGTCAAGAGCATTACTCATTTCCAGGAGTTCCATTTTCAAGCTCTCAGTTATCTTCTGTCTCTCTGTCAACTCCTTCTCAACAGAATACTTTGCTTCCAAAGCATCTTCCATATGAGCTCTCAGCTCCAGGTTTTCACTGGACAGCAATTTTACAGACTCGCGCTCTTCCAATATACCCAACTCAAGAGTGGAGATTACGTTTGTTTTCTCCACCAGTTGAGTTTCGAGCATTTGGCTGTTAGCAATGGCCTGACCAAGCTCGCATGATTTTGCTGAAAGCTCATCCTCTAAAGCCTCCAAAGAAGACAATATGTCCTCAATTTCATCTTGTTGATCCTTATTCTTAGATGCAGATTCCTGCAACATGCTCAGATCAAATAACAATCCTTTAAGAACGTCATCCTTCCTTAGTAATTCAGCCTGAAGAGACAAATTTTCAGATACCAGTTCCTTAGCATGGCTCTCTAAGCAATCGACCTGCTCTATGAACTCAGATATTCTCTCTCCAGTTTCACATATTTCTTGAAACATTTTGTCCACAATGATGAAACCTTCGCCCTTTAAAATATTACGTA